GACTAGATCAGTGGCCCCCAACAGGGACCAGTTCCACGGAGAGAGGTTTTTCTGTGGACGGAGGGGGCCTGGTTTTGCATGTTGCCTGCATCCCATGGATGGAGCTTCACTTGTTTGTGCGGCCCAGTTTCTGGCATGCTGTGGTCAAGTGCCGGTCCACAGACAGGGGGGTTGAGGACTCCTGGACTAGATTGTTGTTGTTAGTTGCGAAGTTGTGTCTGACCCATCGCCACCCCATGGACAACGTTCCTCCAGGCCTTCCTGTCCTCTACCATCTTCTGGAGTCCATTTAAGCTCACGCCTCCTGCTTCAGTGACTCCATCCAGCCACCTCATTCTCTGCCGTCCCCTTCTTCTATTGCCCTCCATCTTTCCCAGCATTAGGCTCTTCTCCAGTGAGTCCTTCCTTCTCATTAGGTGGCCAAAGTACTTGAGTTTCAACTTCGGGATCTGGCCTTCTAAAGAGCAGTCGGGGTTGATCTCCTCTAGGACTGACCAGTTTGAGCGCCTTGCAGTCCAGGGGACTCGCAGGAGTCTTCTCCAGCACCATAGTTCAAAGGCCTCAATTGAGGCCTGGACTAGATAGCAATAGGTAATAACTAGAGAAAACTTGGACTGGCTTTAGTAGATTCTCACATTGCCAAGATAAGAGTATGCAACTTAGGGTTGATCTCCTCTAGGACTGACCGGTTTGATCGCCTTGCAGTCCAGGGGACTCGCAGGAGTCTTCTCCAGCATCATAGTTTCCCCTTACTTTCTGCCAGTCTGTTTTCCCTCAGTCTAACTCATGGCTTTGTGATTCCCTGGAAGTTTCCCAACAATATCAACCCTGCTTTGTTTTTCCCGGAAAATACAACTCCGTAATTCTAGATATGGGAGGTGTTTTAGAACATTGCGAGTAGCATGCCTACTTTAAAGAGATCCAACGGAATTTTATGTGAGAATAGCAGTAAAAAGAAATTTTCTCCAAAATGCAAAGTTCTCCTTACATTTGGCCCGTACGAGTAAAGTAAAACAAGTCCTATTACTGCTCAATGAAGACTTAATAAACCTTTTCCTCTGAAAATCGTTGCCAACTGACAGACTTACAATACTGCAGAGACTTGTGCATTAATCATGCGACAGGATAAACTCCCTGCACATGGGGTTTTTTTTTTCCCATACAAAAATGTGGAGGCTGCCTCAATGCTGTTAAAAGCACAGCTGGTTCAAGTTAATCTGTCTCCCACATTAATTGCACAGTCAATTTCGCCAATCGGTTCTTCATCACTGTCTGTTTCTTGAAGGAGAATGGAGAAATGAGAACAAAGATTTCCATATATTAATGGAGATGAAAGGACAAAATTTAGTACGAGGCTACCATCTGCATGTTCTCGGTAATATGCACTGAAATCTTGATAAGGGTAGTAACCAGAAATGTCTCATGTGCCGAAAAGTTTAATTTTTATTCTGAAGTTCAGATTCAATGAGAAAAAACATTCTATGTATGTATCAGAAAACTATTCCATGACAGCTGTATACTTTAAACTGTTTTACATACCAGCTTTTTCCATATGATGTAAACGATCAAGTTATATTGTATTCTGTAAATGTTGTTTATTTTGTACATTTGCTATAAACAATTCCATTGGATTCTGTCTTATTCAAGCCTGGCAACATTTACAAGTTGTTACAAACGAATATCTACCATCCTATGGAAAAACTTAATAATGACTTACCAAATCCGTGTTGTTGGTCATGGACTCTCTCCTAAGTTAAAACATATGCAATAACGCACGGGTAAAAAACTGCTTGTAAACTTGACTCTACAACTTTCCATCTCTCCTTCAGAAACTTATGTTATCTAAGTAGAATTTAATAAAAAATATACATTGAGTAGAAAGATAAGTCTTAATAAATTGCAAACCAAAGAACGCCAAGAGAAAAACTCTTCCAATTAGTAGTATTTATACAAGAAACCTGATGGATCTCCAAGTGAAGAAAAGTCTACAATTCCATGAAAAACTAATGATCTCCACTGAGTATGTAGATAAACAATGTGCACTTTCCAAGGGATTTGCTAACTTCAATATTACTGCACAGTTCTATTTTTTAAACTAAATGAAACTGGATTAATGACGCTTCCCTACATGGCTTCACATGAGTTATGACAGGTATTACCAAAACACAGACAAGGACTTAATGCAGCTCACCTTTTAATTAGATAACACTCATATTAAATAAATAAAATGTTTATTTTAGACATGCTTTAGTGGCAGTGCTAGAGAAGACCAATGCAGAAGCAGATACAATTCGGAATAAGGCATTTTGTTTGCATTGTAACATATTGGTAGATGATGTTATCCTTCTAGAGCTTAGGTAGGGTAAATCAACAAGCAACAAAACTGATCACGTTCTTTCATTACCTTATTTTATTGGTCCTACTTTAAAAGAAGAAAACAGTTCAGGACTCGAGAGAGCTGCTTTGTTAAGCTTAGGCTTTTTCACCATCCCCATGAAACAGCTCTCAATCCATATGGTAAGACTTCTCTATCACATTATTTTCTGAACTTGAAAAATCTATTTTTTTTCCACTTGAGGGAAAAGTACCCTCAGCCTGCTTGAGGAATGTTTTAAATATCAAGATATCTCCAAATGTAAAATATTGGTTCAGAGAGCTATGCTGTATCCCACATACCACCCCACCAGACTGCTTTAGTTATACAGCGCTTGTTTTTCTTGCATGTATATTGAGAAGAGACCTCCCCCTAGGCCAGACATGTCAAATACAAGGCCCGGGGGCCGGATGCGCCCCGTGAAGTGGTTTCATGTGGCCCGCGAAGCCATCCTGGAAACAGTGAGGGAACGGCCCCCTCTGCCTTGGCCCTGGCCCAAGCCAGCCGGGAGCCAATGTACAATTTTGTGGTGGCCATCTATGCTGAAACGCATTCAGTCTTAGCTCCATAATCTCCCTCACCCCCCCGGCATGGCCTGAGAGGAACAGTGAGGCTCCTCCAGTGGACCATGCCTTGGCGCTTGCCCCGGTCCCACCCGCTTCTGCCAGAGACCCTCAGATCTATCCCACTCCTGCCCAGGCCCCCACAGGCACCCTTGACGCGAACGATGTAGAGCTGGCCACATCCAGTAGGCCACACCCACTCCATCCACGCCCACCCAGTAGGCCGCACCCACCCTGGCCACACCCACCCGGCCCCCTGAGGGCAACCGCAATGCTGATCCGGCCCTCAATGAAATTGAGTTTGACACCCCTGCCCTAGGCCTTTTTGATCAGTATGTGCTACCTGCTCTAACATATGCTGGCGAAACACGGGCACTAGCCTCACAATCGACACAAAAGCTACGAGCGGCGCAAAGAGCCAGGGAAAGATACATGTTCGGCATCACAAGACAAGTTAGAAAGACCCGGCACAGGGATTAGAGAAGAAACGAAAGCATACGATGCCATCAAGAGAGTAAAAGAATGAAAATGGAAATGGTCACATAGCAAGAAGAACCGAGGGTAGGTGGACCAAGGCAGTCATCGAATGGATCCCATTTGATAAAAAGCGTCCATGAAAGAGACCTAAAACAAGATGGATCAATGACATCAGCAAATATGGCGGGCCCAATTGGCAAAAGAAAGCTCAGGATTGTATGAGTTGGAAATATGCGGAACAGGTCTTCATCTTGCAGTATATAGACCAGTGATGGCAAACCTTTTAGAGACTGAGTGCCCAAAAACCGCACCCCCACCCCCGCTCCGCCCTGCCTGCTGGGCCACCCACCACCTCCACGTCCCATCACAGATCACCCAGGCAGCCCAGCAGCGCCATGGTGGCCACACCCTCCGCCCATGCCCCGCAGCATCATCTACACACGACAGGGCGCAAGGGCGGAGTCTTCTCCCTGCTGCCCGGCTACCATGTCGTCGGCTGTGCTGCTTTGTGTGGGCCGTGCCCGGGGGCGACTCTCCTCTGGGGGGGCTGCTGATGAGGAGAGGGCCATGGGAGAAGGCGGGGCTGGGGCAACAGTGTGTGTGCCCACAGAGAGGGCTCCAAGTGCCGCCTCTGGCACGCGTGCCATAGGTTCTCCACCACTGATATAGACAATGGCTAAAATTAAGAGACAACTAACCTTCCATTTTCCTTAAGGGTAGAGGTATTGGTGATACAGGTTCACGCTTTGTCTTCTATTGCAGGGGTCCCCAACCCCTGGTCTGTGGACCGGTATCGGGCCGCGGCATGCCAGCAACCAGTCCGCACAAACAAGCAAAGGCCCATCTGTGGGATGCAGGCAGCACACAAAACCATGCACTCTCTGATCCATGGAAAAACCTTTCTCCACGGAACCGGTCCCTGGTGCCCAAAAGGTTAGGGGACCTCTGTTCTATTGCTTCTTAAACTTACTGCAGCCAGTTTGATTTAGCAGCTAGTCATAATTACAAAGTCAGTTCCGAGTGAGGGCAATGTTATTTACCCTCATTATATTTGCGGCCTTTCTTTAAAACTGCCACAAAGGGAAGCATTATTCTCTGCTCTTGATTCAGCAAAACAACAACAACAGATAATCCCTCATTTAATGCACAGGATTATAGCATACTTTCTGTTCGTCATTTTAACAATGTACCCATATTTGAAGTTCAAATACATTGCCACGTTTTTGGTTAGGTTGCTGTCCCACACACATAGAAATTATGCCAAAGAAATTACCTCTGCATAGACATGGCTAGGATTACATTATTTTACAATACAATCATTCATACATTTATTGGAAGATAGGTGTTATTAAATGTATTTCATTCCCATGAAAACAGGACATATTATACCCTTCAATTGCTGCTGTTATATTTATTTCTCTACATTAATAACCATAGCAACCAACACAATTTTAACGCATATTCTACACGCTTTTTGCACACTAAATCTAATTTAGGTGACGGAATTCTGTGTGGAAATCCTGTATGAAAACATTGCCCGCTTGAACTAAAAGTTATCTCTGTTGGCATATGCAGTGCTCACTTACCTATTATTTTCTGCAGCAAAGGCTGTAGCTCTGGTTCGTCGCAAATAGCTTGGACAAAGGCTTCCTTCACTTGACTTTCAGCCTCATTTAATTCTTTCCCAGTTTTGGCTTCTCCCACTATGGAGTAAATATACACCAATAACAGAAGTAACTCTTGGGGAGTGTAATCATCCTCTGTCCTGTTACTGTAAGACTTGATAATAGGTAGCAGTTGCTTCAGTGCATTAAATAATGTTGACTCGCCAATATTCTGAAAAACAACCAAAACAAAAAAAAATCCTTAATTTCACACTTTAAAAATCAGAAAGTCAAGGACGAATCATGACTCAAAGGCCTATACGTTTTAAAATTATTTTAGGAAGTACAAATTTAAATGCTGCTTTTACAAATCTTGATTCTCTTTATAATAAACCTTTCCAATCGGTGTTCCCCTAGGTTTTGGACTACAATGTCTATCATCCCTAGCCAGAAGGATCAATGATTAAAGTGAATAGTTGTTGCCTTGGAACATGAATATTGTAGACAGACTTCCAAACAATTTCATCCAGACCCATTTTCCCAGCAAAATGATTTCACAGAGGCAAAGCCTGAGGATGGAGTGCGCTATTTTATATCATTGCTGCCAAGTCCATTCATAAAATAACATTATACAGCCTCTTAACTAGTTCAAGGATAGTGTTTAAATATAGCATGATACGGCATATCTTCCTGAAGTTTCATGGCTTGGTGGAGACTGGATATAATAATTGACTTATGTTTTCCATATGGAAGGAACAAAACTAGGTGGGGTCTGATTTGTTTAAAATTGTGACTACTTTTTAATGGTTGCACCCAGAACATACTTACATTTGGAAGAGAAAATATGCTTTAAAATGCTGTCTCTTTTCCTTGCATCTCTCTCTCTGTCTTTGGATTTATTTATAAGAAGTAACTTCACTACCATTTCCTTAAAAGTCTAGCTTTTCTGTCAAGTCACATAATTAAAGATAAATTTATCAGAGTTGTAATCTGATTCTGCCCTTTCCCTTGGAGATGCTGGATCTATTTCGAGGAAAATATGCTGATTTATTTTAAAACTGGATAACAGTTAAAAAAAAGAAGGATCAATCCTATTGTTGAGCAGTATTCCCCAAACTGGCACTTCCTGTATATATTGGACACTGATTCTGCTGTATTCTGGAATGTCAAGTTGGAGAACTCCACTGAATGCAACCTCACACAGAGATGTTTTTGGAAGAAACTCACGGTCACCTTTTATTAAACTTGGGTGGGACTGTCAGAGCACTAATAGAATTAATTACATAAAATGTAATGTTGATATAACAGAGGGTAGTGAGATAATGCAGAAAAGAGCACCAGGAAGTTATCTGCAGATAGGGGCCTAGCCAGTGATGGGATTCAAATATGTGAACAGCCGGTTCTCTGTGTGGATGCCGCTTCCGGAAGTCCATTCTGAGCCTGGGCAACAAAAAATTAGCTACCGGTTCTGCCGAAGTGGTGCGAACCAGCTGAATCCCACTACTGGGCCTAGCTGCATCTGTTAGGGGTCTTCAAACTTGGGCCTTTTATGACTTGTGGACTTCAACTCCCAGAATTCCTCAGCCAGCATGCCTGGCTGAGGAATTCTGGGAGTTGAAGTCCACAAGTCATAAAAGGGCCAAGTTTGAAGACCCCTGTGTTAGAATGAAAGAATTTAAGGCAGATGTAACATGCTTATAACACATAGGGACACTAGGCACAGGAGGGGGAGAAAGAGAGAGAGTGCAAGTTGTGGGAGACGGTTTGCATCTATCAAAGAAAGTTACTTGGCATTAAATTCACAGATTTTCTGGAGTAACATTTAAACTAAACAACGGGGACAGTGAGTTAATTGATATAGAACATTTCTGTTCCCAGCAATCTAAAATTAATAGGGTTATCAGTGCATGTAACATAGACGTTTGTGTGGGTAAGAATATTAACTTTGCTGTCAAGCCAAAATATCAAGTTTTTAATAATCAGTGCCATACCAAGTGGATTAATCAAACAGGTTGTAAGGAAGTAGGGATACTCAGGCACCACACAAATTATGTAGAAAATGAACACAGGGTTAGTCAAAAAGGACTCAAATGTCTATATACCAATGCAGAGTATGAGCAATAAACAGGGTGAATTAGAAATTCCAGTAAATGAGAGTAGATTTGATATTGTTGCCAGTACGGAAACTTGGTGTGATGAAACCCACAAACATACAGCTAGAGGGATTTAAATTATTTAAAAGAAACAGACCAAATAAAAGAGGAGGTGGAGTTGCATTATATATATATATAAGAAATAACTAAATTTCTACAGAAATAGAGCACAATAATGATGAAAACTGTCTTGGGTCAATATAAAAGCGGGGGGGGGAGGAAATGACATTGCCATAGGTGTATACTATAGGCCAGTGGTGGCGAACCTATGGCACGGGTGCCAGAGGCGGCACTCAGAGCCTTCTCTGTGGGCACATGTGCCGTCGCCCCAGTCCTAGGCCTTCAGCTGGGTTTTATAAAACCTTTTCGCTTTAGGCCTCCACCACCATGTGCAAAAAAAAAAAAAGGTTCAATCAGTCAATTTCAACTTCTCGCGGGAAAAAAAGATCTTGCAAAGTTGGAATTGATTGATTGAACTTTTTAGTCCCACCCAGTCTGCCATTATCACTGCAGCCACGCCCACCCAATGGGCTACACCCACCCAATGGCCATACCCACCCGGCACCCAACGATACATAAATGGGTTTTGGGTTGTAGTTTGGGCACTCGGTCTCTAAAAGGTTCGCCATCACTGCTATAGGCCAACCAACCAACCAGAGGAAATAGATGAACTTTTTGCTAGCCAGTTAACTAAGGTATGTAGGAAGCACATCACAATAGTAATGGGGGACTTTAACCACCCTGACATCAACTGGGAGACAAATTCTGCACCAAGTGGAAGTGGAAGAGCTGAAAAGGAGCAGACATATTGCTACCTTGTATGTTAATCACCCTCATCTCGGTTCCTGATGAACAACAGGAAAGAGAGAGAAACAGAATTAATTTATTTTTTTGCTCCCACTGGCTCTTGTGAGTGAAGAACTCTTGGTTAACACAGTGGCAGCACACATAGGCCTAGACCAGGGGTAGGCAAATTTGGCTCTTTTATGACTCGTGGACTTCGACTCCCAGAATTCCTGCTGGCTCAGGAATTCTGGGAGTTGAAGTCCATGAGTCATAAAAGAGCCAAGGTTGCCTACCCCTGGCCTAGACCAAGCGATATCTGGAGGCTAAGAGAGAAAGCGAGTTGTTTCAGTAAGTGTGGTAGTTTCCAGGTTATTTTCAACCTCCAGTTTCTTTAAAACTAGCATTTATATTTATATTTAAAAGAAAAAAAATAAGAATCTGCTTTATTGTCTGATCAAAGAGGCTACCGGGATAAAGGGCTTGTATTATAAGCACGGTCTTAGTCCTTGCACTTTGATCATCTTCTGTGGGTAAAAGTTTAAAAAAGAAGAAAGAACGACAATCTCAGCTGTAGACTATAATTTCATTTAAGGTTCTCATTTTTAAAGAATTAGCATCTTTTTCTTAGAACAAAATAAAGGCCCCTGAAGCTCAGATTTTAATTCCCTTCAATCAGAATAGAGCTGGAAGGGACCTTGGAGGTCTTCTAGTCCAACCCCCTGCTCAAGCAGAGACCCTAGACTGGGGGTAGGCAACCTTGGCTCTTTTATGACTCGTGGACTTCAACTCCCAGAATTCCTGAGCCACCATGGCTCAGCTTGGAAACCTCTCCCTTTCCCCTCAGCATGGCTGGCTCAGGAATTCTGGGAGTTGAAGTCCACGAGTCATAAAAGAGCCAAGGTTGCCTACCCCTGCCCTAGACCATTTCAGATGGGTGGCCGTCCAGTCTCTTCTTAAAAACCTCCAGTGATGGAGCGCCCACGATTTCTGGGGGCAAGCTGTTCCACTAATTAATTGTTCTCACTATTTGGAAGTTTCTCCTTAATTCCAGGTTGCTTCTCTCCTTGATTAGATGCCTAATTTTAATTTTAAATGCCTAAAATATCTTTTTCAGATATTCATAACTCTTTAAATAAACAAATTAAACTAATATATTAAACAAACATTCTTCTGAATTAATGCTGACCACCCTCATTACCAAGGCAGTTGTCCCTGGAGAAACTCAAACTCCTTTCAATTAAAAAGGTTTAAAATGCTTTGAATTGCATTTTAAAACAAAGCAGTAAATAAGGAATATAAACAAAAGAGGACAATTACATTGATATTTTTTTTTTTGCAAAAGTGAACTAGAGAAGCAGACAAAGTGAATGGGAAACCATGATATTTATGAAGGCCCCGTGTTTTGATCATTGACCTAGAATCAAACAGGGATAATGAGAATTCTTTACAATATTACGGTCTTCTTTTGGTCCTGGTTGCTGTTATTGCTGGCTGTCCTTCTCTTCTTCCTTTTGTAATTTTGGGGGAGAAATATTTTATGCGAATAAGCCTGCTGGGCTATAGAAAAAAAATTAAAACAGTCAATAAACCAGCACTCTTAAGAGTGCTGGTGAACAACACAGAGAGTGAGGGAATTTGCCTCAAACAAAACCGTCTAGCAGTTTGTCATTAATTAGCCATCTCTAATGATTTAAGAGCTCTCAGTGCAATTACAAATCAATTAATTACACCGACCAAATAGCCCCTAAAGCACCAGATTTAAAAAATGACCCAAATTTCCTGCTTGTCAGGTTGGCCGCTGGTTAGACTTCTTTACCTATCATCAAGAGGTCCAGTAAAAAGTAATAAAAAAACCCCCTCAGTTCTGAGCTTTTGAAAATGCTCACAAAAACAGCTGAATTGCCCAAGATGGCTCCAAAGAAGACTGCCATTTGGTCTAGTAAATTTCCCTCCTTTTTATTATCTTAGTATTGTCTTCAAACGGTAAGATCACTAATGCAAGAGAGAGAAAATTCCTCTTAATTTTTTTTTCTTATCCTAGATACCATCTTCCCCTTTCTCTCTCTAGGGGTTTTGTTGGAGGTAAAAGAAAGAATCATCTGTCAAAAAGCAGTGGTATCAATTTGCAGGCTTCTGCAGACTGTTTTGGCCAGTTGATAAGATATAAAGGAAAGGATATGAATACACGTTATCGTAAGTAAAGGTGGCATTATTTTGCATATGTCATGCGTCATATGCCGTTCTGATTAAGACACCGATTTCCCTTCAGTTCTGCAGGATGTAATTTCGAATT